TCTGATTTGTCTTTTCTTTATTACTATTCTCACTGACTAATAAAATCGGACTTCCCTCTGGTGCACGTGGATCATTCTCAATAGCAACTTTCTTTTTCTTTTTTGATCTTGTTTTTTTCTTTCTAAGGATGTTTTCTTTTTCTAATATTTTTCCTTTCGATGTTGGTGAAAGACTTGTATCTTGTAATTTTCTTTTTCTATTATCTTCTTCTTCAGTATCACTATTCTCACTATTTGATGTATTATTGGTGTTACTATCACTATACTCTTCCTTATCCTTATCCTTATCCTCTACATTACTATTGTTATTACTCTGACTATCTGTATCACTAACTGTCATATTTAATATCTTCGAATATCTTTCTGAAAAAGGTCTTGCTTGTGGAATTTCTTCAATATCTCTCATTCTTACATCGTCCCCGTCCTTATCTAGATCTTGTTCTTTACTACTAGCTACCTGTTCATATATCTTCCATTTTCTACTTTCTTCTTCAAAATGTCTCTGTTGATAATAAATATTTGCTATTATAAATAATTTTTCTTTTTCTTTTTCTAATTCTTTAGGTGGTTCATTATCTCTAAAAAATTGTTCTTTAGTCCTTAACTTATGTGGATAATATTTAATTAAAGATCTCGATGGAAAATTAGGATGTGTTCTATTATTTCTATTTACTTGTGCTACTGCTCTATCTGGTGTAACTGAGAATGGCTGAGTACTATTAATATTATTCGAAGAAGTTGTTACTTGCCTTGTTCTATATTGTTGTTGTTGACGTTGATATGGTTGTTGTTGTTGTTGTTGTTGTAAAATTAAATCATTATAATAATTATTATTTAATTGTAATGTTGTTGTTGCTGTTGTTCGTGGAGCTGGTGTTGGTGGACGACGACGACGCTGAAAAAGAAGGGAAGAAAGTGCGACAGCACGAGAAGAGAACCATTCACGTATAGCTCCTTCATATTTCCATTTGCCGGTGGTGTTAGATGGATGTAGCCCATCTTCCACACGCATGTCCGCAAGCCCAAGGCGCGCATCAACAACGTCAAAATCCAACTGATTGGATAAGACCTGAAGATGCTCATTGAACTGATTATGCATTTGTCCGATGTTGGCCGCGGAGACAAGTCTCGTTGGTTTCCATCGTGGTGACAAAGCTAACCAGCCAATGGCCCGGATACTTGGGAATGACCGACGAATGAAACGTATGAGCTCACTAGTACGTTGCAGAGTAACCTCGACACCGTACCGTCCCACATCATTCGTACCCAAACATACTATTAAAAAATCTTTATCACTTACCTGACCACGACCTTCAGGTGTGTTTAACCATTGTATCATATTATAAATATCACAACCTGATTCATAACTTAATTCTACATCATATAAGGGTAATTTTTTAATAGCATATGTTCTAAGTCGGGAGCACATAGAATCGGATAAAATAATTCCTTTAAATGTTCTTCTAATATTATTATAATTATTATTATTAATATTGTTGTTATTGTTGTAGATGTTATATGATGGTGATGGTGATGGTGATCGATTAAAATTATGATGAGAATTATGATGAGAATTATGATGAGAATTATGATGATGTTGATGATGGCGCTGATGAAAATTATGTTGTTTCTGTTGTTGATGAATATGTCGTGGTTTTATTGGTGGTGGTGTTGGCCGACGATGAAATGAACGTGAACGTGAACGTGATTGAGATGGAAGTTGTGAAAGTAGGTGGAATCGAGATCGTGATATTGAACGTGGATGATGTTGATTAGGATGAAATTGTTGGGCCTGGTGTAATGAACGTGTATGATGGCGAGATGGCATATGATATGGATTTAATGACATTAATGTTGGTAAATTATTAATATTATTATTATTATTGGAATGATAATTATGATGGCGATTATAATTACGTGGATAATAATGTTGATGATGATTATAATGAGATGGTGGTGGTGTTAAATTTCGTGTTGATGGTGGAAAATTACGACGACGAGGTGCTGGTGTTGGTGGAATGCCGGTAATATTGGTATATCCATTAAATGTTGTTGTTGTACCTATTTGAAATTTTTTATAAGAATTGTACTTACGTTGACCTGCCCCGTATAAAGATGGTTTTCTTGGAATTTGTCGAATTAAATTTTGATAATTTTGTTGAACTTTTGGTGGTGGAATATTTGGTGTTAAATATAATGGTCGAAGAGGTGGAATATTAATATTAGGAAGATAATTTGATGAAACTGCTGAGTATGAATTTGTTGTTGGCATGATGGTAATTGATGACATTGTTAATTCTTTTCGTCAACTGAGAAATACTTGGTGATGGTTGAACTAATAATCCTGTGGGTGTGATTTAAATGTAAAAAGCGAATTAACAATGTGGTGAAGCAAAAAAGAAGACCGAAGAAATATTATAAATAAATAAATAAATAAATAAATATATAGATAAATAATTTTAATTGAAAAAAGAAATGAAGAACTCTTTTGAGATATAGAAATAAGCAAATAAATTATGTTTTTGTATTAGTTTTAAGTTTTATTTGTTTTTTGTTTGAAATTTTTTTGTTAAATTTTAAATGTTTTTGGTTATTTTATATGTTTTTAGTGAATTGAACGAAAAATAAATGAAATTTTTAATAAATTTAAGAAAATCTCAAATGAAATCAATTGAGATTGAGAAAAATAAGAAAATCTAATTGAAATTTGATACAATAAGAAAATCTAATTGAATTTGTAATGAATTTGTTTTTGAAAAAGTAAATTTGTTTTAGAAAAATGAGAAAAATCGAATTTGTTTTAGAAGAAGTAAATTTGTTTTAGAAAAAACGAGAAAAATCGAATTGAACTTTAGTAGAATACGAAAATCAAATAGAATTTGTAATGAAATGAGAAGATTTGATCAAATTTTATTGAAATAAGAAGATTTGATCAAATTTTATTGAAAAAAGAAAATTTTGATTGAGTCTTTTGAGAGATTGAGTAAGAAATGAATGAATAAATAATTGAGAAAAAAGAAAAACTTTTTTTGAGAATAATTTAGATTTTTTTGAATATGAAATAAATAAGTGAAAACGAAAAATCTTTTGAGAAATGAGTCAGTGAAATAATAAATAATTTAGGCAAATAGATATATGAAATGAATAAGTTTTGAATAAGAAAAAATCAACTTGTTTTAGGAGTCAAAGAAATAAGAAAATTTAGGTTATTTTTGGTTAGAAAAATAAGCTATTTTTTGAATGAGACGAGAGCAAACTTCTTTTGTAATGAATTTAATGTAAATTTTAATTTTTTAATGTAATTTTATTTAATTTTAACAATAAATAAATAAATAATTGACAATAATTGTGTAATAAGCGACGCGTTTCGAATATTCTTCAGGCTATGAATGACTATCCTTTCTTTCTTCCATTCCTTCTATCCTTGCTCTCGTATCTTGTCCTCTATACTTATCCAGTTGGAAAATTCTCTATTCTATAGGGGGCGCTATTCTTATAGAGGGGGTACTGTTCCATCTATCTCATTCTATATTTCTCTAACTCATAACTCTATCTCGATAGTGTGGGTGTGGGAAAACGGAGTTACTCAAGTCGAAATAACTAATTTCTGACAGACTCAATCCTCAAGACTCAAAAAATAAATCGAAAAAGATCTTATTCGGCCACTCGACCCTCTATGAGGGGAGCAGCCTACTCTAACTACCTACTCAATAAACAAAAAATCGAAAAATGGGGGATATTCTCGATTGGTCACTCAACCCTCTATGAGGGGAGCGACCTTCTCTAACTATCTAATCGAA